AGGAGGAGGAGGAGGAGGAGGAGGAGGAGGAGGAGGAGGAGGAGGAGAGGGACTGAGATTCTGCTTCCACTGTTCCTCACACATCTTCCACTAAAACCTTCAGTCTTTTGCCTCCTCACATCCAAACATTGGTGTTTTTTATTTGCTTGTAGACGCAGCAGCTTTGCTCTGATTGTGACCAAAGAAAGCATCCTTCATCGTTTCCTGGGCAGGTCACACATCGGACATTTCGCTTCACACACAGGCCTCTTCTCAAAGAACTCTTGTAAACATTTGTAAATAAAGGAGAAGAAAGAAATGAAGCTGGAAAAAAACATGTGAAAGCATTTAATACACAAGCCTAAACCTGCTGTACCCCCCCCCCCCACAAGCTGGAGAACAGAGTGTTCAACCACCCTGAGATCAACTTTCACCTTGACCTGTGTGTCCAGTGTATCATGCATTCACATGTCAACCCTGCAGAGCCGCCGTGTGTGTGTGTGTGCTTGTGTGTGTGTAAATATAAAGTGTGTATTAAGGAGGAATGTTTCAGAGCCCCACCATCCTGACGGTCGCACACAGCATCAACTGAAACAGCCTCTCTCCACAAACCGTCGCCTCGTGTCCGACCTCAGCGTCAACAAATCCACACACTCCTCCTGGAAAAACTTCCCGTCCAGAAACTTGAACTGTGAGTTTTCTCTGCTTCAAACAGAACTGCTGCAGCAGAAACCTCCTCAAAATAAACCGACATCTTGCGCTGAAAAGTGACGGCGGTGCAGCCGTACATTACGCTGCATTAACAGGAGGTCACTCACATTATGCACTGGGGATGACTCTCAGCTACTACCACCTTTAATACATTATTGTTCAGCATGTATTTGATATAAAGGAATATGTTAGAGCCATTTTGTGTTGGCTAAGATCGATTAGCTGCGACGGCCATTTTGAACTAGAGAAGTTGTCCATCTCATGATTGATCACTGGAGGGTTCACTGAAGTCTGTCCAGTGGTTCTTGAGATATTTTGCTAACAGTCAAACAAGTTGATGCCACCAGTTAATGTCAAAGTGAAACTTAATGTGTTTAGGATGATGCTCAGCTACTACCACATCAAAATTTACCCCAACTTCTGTGCATCCGACTGAAGGACAGCCTTTTTCCTGTTCTGGAAGGATGATTAGTTGTGGAGGCCATCTTGAAATGAATTGACTTCAACTGTTAATCAGCTAAAGATGTACATCCAGTGATTTCTTTGCGTTTCTGTAAAATCCATTTAAGAGATATTTTGCTAACAGTCACATAACACTTCCTTTCACATCTGAGAAATACAGAGTTTCCCCAAATCACCTGAAACCATCAACTTTCTGTAACGAAGCACGTTTCTGATCTCGGAGACAACGGGAGTCCATCTCTCTGAGGTTTGTTGACGCAGAGACGTCAGATGATCCTTGAACTGTTTTCACACCACACATCTGTGATCACTTCAGTCTGAACTTCATTTAGCATGTGTGCATTTCTTTATTTCCTGCCGTTGATCCATGTGCTTCGTGCATGTTTGTTCCGGAGCTTTCTTTGCCCTCATAGTTGTGGAGTTATGTTGAGTTGGAGAGCCGGCTGTGGTGCTTTCAAGTTGTTGCACTTCACTTTGATTCAATCGGAGAATAAATGATTTGATTTGACAAAAGAGCATCCTGTTCCTATCGGGAGAACATTATAAACATTAACGGCGCAAATATGTATGCGGGCATGTACGAGCAGATTACTGAAAAATAAAAAGCTGAAACACTAACAAGAAGCTGCAGCGTGTACACAGCTGAACAATAAACCTGTACATGTATCAAACAGGAAGTGATGTCATTCTTTACCAGCACCTTAACCATAAGGTGAAGGTGACCAGATATCTGAAGTGAAATCTGGAGACATTTCCAGCTCCGAGACCAAAAAGAACAACATTTTATCAAGATGAAATTAAAAACAGGGACAGTTACAGTTTCATTTATTTATACATATTTATTCATGTTTAAACTATAAAAATCAAATATAACAGCAGGACTGTGTCTCTCACACTGTTAACACAAGAGTATCGTCATAAAATGAATAAAGTAATAATAGTAGTAACAGAGTACTAAAACTGGGGGGGTCAAGGGTATATACTAGTAATTGAGTGTTCATACCTTGTGAGTGAATGAGAACATGTATGTACTTACATAGGCGTGTATAAGTACACAGTGTATGGTTACGTAGCTGATGTGTATTTATATTGTGTGTACTGTATGTGTGAGGTGAGTGAAGGTCAGGTAGTCACTGACATGAGCTCATCTCTGGTTCTGTGAAACCTCCTCTGGTGGTCATGGAGGTCTGGAATAGAAGAAGAGCAGAAAAGGTTACGCACAAAACTGAAGGAGCACAGATCATAGTAAAGACAAATACTTAAAACATAAGAAATAAGACACATTTTAGTAATATGATTATATACTCATTATTTTATTTTTATTTGTTCTTCCACTTGTTTCATTGTCACTCAAACAGCTGCCTCTTCACACGGCTGCACTTGGAGAAGTACATGAACCTGACACTCAGATCAGAGGAAGAACTTCTGTCCTCTCAACTGGAACCAGCCGTAACATCTCACCAGTACACAGACCCTCAATACGTTACCAGTCAAACCACTTCATCAGTTCATCGCTTGAACTTTAATTGTAAAAATTTGACGTCATAAACGTGAGACAGATAAACCTGAATATTAACTTAACCGAAGAGCAACAATCTGAAGAGCAACAATCTGAAGAGCAACAATGTGAAGGGCAACAATGTGAAGAGCAACAATGTGAAGAGCAACAATGT